GCACGGGAGCAGCCCCCGAGGAGCTCCCCAGCACGACTTCGCCCTGGGCAGCCGCCCGCTGCCCGCCCGGAGTACGCCTTCGCTGGGGCCCGAGGAGATGCTGGGCGGCAGAGACTGTCTCCCTGCCACGCCGGGGCTGGGCCACCCGCCGCTGCCCCCGGGCTACCCCCCGGCTCCGGGCTACCCCACCTTCCTGCCCGAGCAGCTCTCTCCCGGCGCGCTGCAGTACCAAGGTGAGTCCCCGCAGTGCTGGGGCAGCGGATGTCCCCGCTTGGGCGCTGGCCGTGCTCACTCCTCCCTGTCCGCCCCTAGAGCTGATGCCGCCGGGGAGCTGCCTGCCTGAGGAGACCAAGCCCAAGAGGGGACGCCGGTCATGGCCTAGGAAAAGAACGGCCACACACACCTGTGACTATGCGGGCTGCGGCAAAACCTACACCAAAAGCTCTCATCTCAAGGCGCATCTGAGAACCCACACAGGTTAGCCCCCGTGCCGGGGTCGGGGGACTGAGGGGCGCACGGGGTGACCTCCTCAGACAGTGGAAGGGTGTGAGCACGGGCGGAGGGTTAAAAGCAACAAGACCTTTCCATGCTGGGTTTCTGGGCTTTTTTTTTTCCTCCCCCCTTGGCTACGTGAAGTCCTTTACAGTCTTTGCTTATTGGCTTGACGTTTTGCTTAATGGTTCGGAGTGACTCAGATGTGGGAGCGGGTGGGTTTCTTGCCAAGTCAGAGTTTGTTACTTCTCTCTTGCTATGTGGCTAGCTAATTACCAGGTAGTTTGAAGCCAACTGGGATTTGTTGTTCTGGATTGTGTTTGCCCACTTCAGAGAAGGCAGCAGACCTCTGTCGAAGGTAACTGCTTTCTTTGCTGCTGGTTAAGTGCTTCGAACACGCACCCTTCTCTTGGCTGGCTGTAGGACAAAATGTTGTGCACCTCTGCAAGCTGTTGCTCCCTTTTTGGGGAAAGCAAAATAGATTCCCTGAAGAGACTGGGCTTTCAGATGAGCTGGCAGCTCATGGGGTGCCTTGCCTGCCTGTTGGACATCTCCCCCTGCACCAGCAGAGTTTAACTGTCGATTGTCCACTGCTAGAATAGGGATAAAATCTGCCCAAAGTGTGTATCTGAGCCCAGTCTCAAACTTCAACCTTGCAGCTGAGTGCAGAGTTGCAGTAACTGAGCTTGTGAAAGCAGGTACAGCACACGGGTTTCGCCAGCCTGGGCATTCCGTAACAGTGACTAAATTACCTGGGAATTTGCATAATTTGAATCCCTGGGTTCAACCTGAACCTGATCCAAAACTTTCTCCTGAAGAGGAGATGGGAAAGGGAAAATATCCTGGCTCTGCAGTAGTCAGGCTACATCTTCAGGTAAGCAGCAGGGAGGAAAAAAAACAGGAAAGTGATCAATGAACATCTGCCCCAAGCCAGTCAGCACCATCCCCAGGATGTGTAGAACAGGGAGTTTGTAATTGTTGGGGAAGCTCATCTTGCCATCAACAGTGGTTTTTGTATAATGAAGGCACTAGTAAGACTGAGTCCTTAATCAGGCTGAGCTAATGAAAACAGTTTCCGGCTGTTTTCAAATTCTTGAGACCTACAATTATCTAAATGCATTGTCTGCTGAGCTATTTCTGGTTGCTATTTGATTGTGTAACAGCACCAGCAAAAATACACGCTCAGGTGCTCTGAAGTCTTATGTGCAAGGCAGTGAAAAAAAGCATTTTAGTGAAGATTTAAGTGACACCAGCATTTCATAGCACATCTTTTGCATCTGTACATCTTAAAAAGCCTTGCTCTTTTACTCTTTGTTGTTTGTAACTGCTTCGTGAAGTTTGACCACCCTTTCTCTTATGTAGGACAACTGCTTGAAAGAAGGTGCTGCAAGTGGTAGCCATAAAAAAAAACCAAAAAAACCCAAAAATCCTAACGGGTTTGTTTCACTGTCTGTGTTTTTTTCTACAGGTGAGAAGCCTTATCACTGTGACTGGGAAGGCTGCGGGTGGAAGTTTGCCCGATCCGATGAACTCACTCGTCACTACAGAAAACACACAGGCCACCGCCCTTTCCAGTGCCAGCGCTGCGACAGAGCGTTCTCCAGGTCGGACCACCTCGCCTTACACATGAAGAGGCACTTCTGATTTGGGAAAGCTGTGGATCTTTCCCCCAACTGCCACAGAGATTCAGTATTTACAGCACAAGGACTGTCTTCCACAAGACGGGGAGAACTCATTTTAAGCACTACAGATAATCGAGGTGAAGTCTTCCAAAGAGTGGAAAAGAGGGATAACTGCATATGGACATTGCAACTTTCTTTTTTTTTTTTTTTTTTTTATAGTTAAACACTTAAGAGAACCAAAGACATTGGGGTCAATGACTGGATCTTCTATCATTCCATTTGTAAATCCAACTTGAATTATTTCTGGACTACAGAATGCCAAGGAGTGACTGGAAGTCACGGATATCAGGGTTAAACAGACTGTATGTAGTTCGGAGGGTGGGGATATTACACGGGGAAATGACATTCCCTTAATTTCCTTTCAATGCAATATTAGATGTACATGTCATCTTGTACTTTCTTTTTTTTTTTTTTTTTTCCTTCTAAAAGCCATTACAATGTTAGAAGAGGAGGAAAAATTCAGGTACAGAATTATATTTTAAAAGCCTATTTCATGGTGCTTAGTGACTGTTGGTTCTAGAGGTACCAAAACCAGGAAGCCAAAGTTCTCAAACTGCTGCATATCTGACAAGGAACTATTTTTTATCTTCCGATTGCCAATTATGACCTAAATCAGGTGAATAACCCTGGTTTATCTTTTTTATTAAGAAAATGACTTTATGCAGACAGTCTGTAATGCACTGTGGTTTCGATGTGCAATAGTTTGTACAATGGTTTATTCCCAAATATGCCTTAAGCAGAACAAATGTTTTCTATATAGTTCTTTACATAATAAATATGTAATATAAATTTAAGCAAACTTCTATTTTGTATATTTGTAAACTACGAAGTAATAATGAACATTTTGTTGGAATTTGTATTTTGCATATTCAAGGTGAAAATAAGTTTTAAATAAACCTATAATATTTTATCTGAATGGTTGCTCTATTTTTTTTCCTGTGTATGGACATGGCCAAAGAAAGTTTGTTAGGTATTTGTTGGTGGTTGAGTTTACCAAGGCAGGGATGGGGGTGGTGGCAAACACTTGCAGTCTCAATACTCCGAAAGAGAGGATTGTGTAAGTGCAGTGCTGGTGTAACATCTCTTTTTGGGGAAAAAGCTGTATGGAAAGTTCTTGCTCTGGATGTCGAGTTACCACTTATCTCACCTGTGTGGGTGGAACTGTAATTTACCATTTTTAAAGTAACTCAAATTGTTTTTTGGAGGACATACTTCTATTGAGGACATAAGACCTTGTGCGTGTGATGGTAACAAACCCTAGAAATTTTTTATTTTTGATTTTAGCAGTCTTTTCAGCAGTGGAGGATTCCCATCATCATTGCCTTGGATTTCTTAGGCAAGCCAGTGTAACCACTTTAGAGTGAGCAAAGCAAAACCCAGAGTAATGTCGAGCAAAAATTAAACCTGGCTCAGAGAATAAAGGGCGCATACACAAAACGCCGCGTAACCATCACCCGCACGGAGCTTTCTTTTGAAACCTGCTCTGACCTGGGAATCCAGTCACTCAGCGAAGAGCCAGGATTCCTGCAGGAATGCAGATGTAGCTGGGGAAAGCTGACCATGCATGGGCTGAGGATGTGTTGCTGCGAGGTCCCCGGCGTCCCTCCAGCAGCGCGTGCCGCGCCGCAGCTCTGGAGGCGGCGAGCCCGCCCCGGGTCATCGCCAGCCTCGTGGTGCTTCTCCTCCGGGACCTCATTGTTCCAGCTGCTTACAGAATGTGTAGCAAACAGATGATTTCCACATTAGCACTGGCTGAATAGGACCTGTTTTTCTCACTACTCTTCATTAAAAGGGAAGAAGCAATTCCTCTTCAGCTGATTTGAAGAGTCTGTCAGCTAGGAATTTGGGTGTATGCAGTGCCCACTAAAGCCGAGGGGAAAAAACAGCAGGCAAGGGGCTTTAGTGTCTTTGTGATAGTTAAAACAAAAATGGCAGTATCAAATTTTTATGTCCAAGTGTGCCTTTGGAATGCTACTAAAACTCACATTTTGATGTGGTGTTTTTGTGGAGACTGGTGCCATTTCTCAGCTTTTATAAGTAATATAACGATGCAGAAAATACTTCTCACCCCTTATCGCCTAGGCATGCTTTGTTCAACTGAAAGCTATCTTTGTTGATTTGCTTTATAGGCAACACAGGGAGTAAGGAATGTCTTGTTTGGTTTGCAAATAGCAAGTATTTAAAGCTAAATTAAAGTTATGAGTCACCCTTTATCTAAAGTTTTTTCCATGTGAAAACTTTTTACAATTAAACCAGGCAATTTTTTACCTCCTCTGTTGCTCTGCCTGTGAGTTCTGGATGAGAGACCCAAGGTCAGCACCGAAGCTGGTGTGTGCTGAGGGCCTGAAATGTTATTGTCCCGTCCGATAACACCAGGGCACGCTTAGTAGGTGTAGGATCTCCTTTGTATGGCTGCCATTCAAAACCTCTTACATACGTGCAAGGTCTATGTTCTGGCACATCTGTGACTACTGGAATCTGAAGATTTCATCTGAGAAACTGGTTTCTTTTGCTTTTCCAGTGTAGTGTCATTATGCACCCCTGAGAATTTTGTAAGACACTATAGCACTTAGTAAGGCATTATCCTCTTCCGCCAGCTTCAGTTTCTGCTTGATGTTTTTATGGACCCTAGGTTCCTACTTGCATGAACAATGGCATTCTTGAAACAGGGCATTGCTCCTTATTCCATTTTATTTTTTTTAATTCTCATTTATTTCCCTGATCCTCACCAAGCTGTCCTCTTGTATAAATTTCCAGACTGAAAGGGACAAGACTGAAACTTTGTATTTAAAAGAAAATGCTGCTATGTCTTTAACCATTTCCAAATTGCTGCTCCTATACTTTTTTTGGGACAGGAGCCAACTGCTCACTTTTTGCCATACAGCATGAAACCTGTGAGAGGCAGTCCTTACTCTTAAGGAGGTCTCTGGGGGTAGTACTGAAATGAGCAGTGCTCTGCTAAATAGAGCTGGAAAGAGCATGTTGTGTTTGCCACCTGTTTCATTTTGTCTGGGATCCTGGAGTTGCACTTAAGTGCCGGATTGCACATGGATGCAGTGAAACAACACATGTATCAAAAAGCGTATCTCATAAAAACATATGTAAAACAACAAGAAGTCTTGTAAGTATGTCTTGAAAAACAAGATTTGTTTAGCGTTGCTAAAGCTGTACTCATGTGCTGCTTTGCTGGGGCATCTAAAAGTCAGGGTATGAGGTTATTAGGGGTGGCCTCTCTGACATGGGGTGAGCACCTCCAGAGCTGCCCCAGAGCAGTATTTCAGCTACTGGAGGTAAATTCTCTTGCGGCAGGGAGTTATCTCTGCAGTCAAACTACAGCCGTCCTTAATCCTGCTCACCCCTAGCCCAAATCTCTCTGGAGCACGCTTAGCATGTATAGATGGAGCTGCTTAAAACAAGATGGCACATGCCTGACTGCCAAGTGCCAAGTATTCAAAAGTGGCACCAGAGTGAAAAATCTTCTCAGAGCTGCAGCTGCTGTGCACTTGTCTGCTGCACACCATGGCCTGGGAGTCCAGGTGTGACTGTGACCCAGCACAAGTGGCCTCAGACATCCCCTGTCACACGGAGGGGTACTTGAAAGAGAGTTTTCTTATCCCTCGTGGTGGTTACCAGATCCTGCCACAGCTGAACTCAACTGCAAATCTCACAAGGATTTATATTAAGCTGATATGAATCAGTGAATTTCATTCTCCTTCTCTTTAATAAGGGAAGATCAGAGGCTGCTGCGGTTAATCACCCCGAGTGCTAACGGTTCGACAGAATTAGTTTACACAGGTTTCCTATGGGAGTCTGCTGGATGTTGGAGCTAGCCTGCTTTCACTGGAGTCCCTGGCAGGCACTTTTAACGGCATTTGAGTGTAAGATTTACCAAATTAACCTCTGTCTGTCCCTGGGCTTTGCTCCCCTGAGTGCAACTGGGTCGCGTGCTCTAAGTCAGAAAGATGTTTGCAAGCTGGGGACAGACAGACGGAGCAGTGCTTACACTGTGGGACTTGGGCAGGAGTCTGGATGTGGTAGAAGAGCTGGTAGGAGGAAGCAAACTCAAGGTATGGTGAGCAAAACTGATACGGAGAGGAAGAGGAGCACCACCACCACCGGCGCCGCCATGCGTTGACTGAGGCTTGCAAGGAGAGCTCCCCAGATTAAACAGCTGTATTTAAGCTCAGCAGATATATTTGTGGACACCAAGAAAGACGAGTGTGTACTTAAAAGAGGGGAAGGCCCATCATTCACCGAAATTTAATTGAGGTCACATTGGCTTGGAGCCACAGGGTAACACACCCACATTCCCCTGTCTGCCGTACACCTGGATGACTCACGTTTCGTCTGCCCTTCGCTCTTGCCGTGACTTTACCAGGGGAACATTTTCATTACTGCTGAAGGCATTGCCACCGAGCGCAGAAATTGCCTCTGCGGCGTGGAAGTGGGCGGTGGTGGTGTTTCTGCAGCCTTGTTCTCCACCCTGGATGCATATGGGTATCTGTTAGTCTCTTTTTCACCTTTGGATGCATACCTGTGGGCCCTCAAGGCTAGAACCTTAATGGTGTGAAAGACAGGAGGGGGGAAAAGTGGCTTGTGCTTTATTAATGTTTATTCTATATTTAGAGCATGCGTTCCCAGAGTTTTACAGGAGACAGGCGGCCCTAATAGCTACTCACAAGAGGCATTAGGCAGCTGCACCTTTTCCCTTCAGTAATGTTTTCCGTACTCTTGGAGCTGCGACTTCTTTTGTAACTGAGATGGTGATTTTCACACAGACCTGGCTAGCTTGGGGTCAACCTCATGACTTGCTAATTAAGAAGAAAAAGTTTTAGGGAACACAGAACACGCCAAGCTGCTTTCACTGTGAAACCTGGGTGAGCAGAAGGGTAATCATGTGCTGCTATCACCGCAGCCATCTTGCTACAACCCTGAAAAGTTTTGCATGGTTTTGCTTTGGGTACAGCGTGCTTGTTTATCAAGCACAAGCTAGGGCCTGCTTAAATCTTGCCATTCAAGTTCTCCACAGTTAAACTTTCAGGCTTTATTCAACAAAATAACCCAGCTTCCCTATGTTATTTGGTTTAAGGCCTTTAATTTTAAGAACAGGTATCCCACAGTTATCCAGAATGATTTACCCCACTACTGCCACAGCAGTTAGGAAAGATCTGACAGGAAATGCCACACCACCAGCACACAGGGGTTCATTTACTGGGAGCTTCCTTGATGGTGCTCAGAGTCTGTTTGTGCATGTCTCAGTGTCACAGAAATCACAGAATCACAGAATAAGCTGAATTGAAAGAGACCCTCAAGGATCATCAAGTCCAACTCCTGGCCCTGCACAGAACCATCCCTGAATCCTACCATGTGCACAAAAGCATTGTCCAAATGCTTCTTGAACTCTGTCAGCCTTGGGGCTGTGCCCCGTCCCTG